TACTAAACAAGTCATTTTACATGAATAAATTGCATTAAATAACCTTACAACATATTAAACTACATTATTCTGATTTTAGAGACAAAAGTATCTCAAAAGGAAAAAATTGAACTGAAGCTTTTGTAAATCAGGAGAGAAGTAGGGGTTGAAAGGTGGGAAGGGACATGAAGAAAAACAGAATTGATAAGTTATATACAGGTGCATATTTCCTAGGATAAATGTGACCCATGTGTATGACAAATGTGTACAAATAAAAAATAAAGTTAAAAAACAGAAGATAATTAGGACCTTATGACTTGGTAAGGTGTAAAAGATTACTCTAATTCATGTGGATGCATAGACTCAAAATAATTTACATTTTCTACTGTTACATTATTTTCCACTCCATTTAGTCCTTTCTTTACACAGAAAACACATATAAATAATCATTGCACCCCAGCTTTTTCTCTTGCAAAAATCAAAGTTCAAGTGTTTGATCAATCTTACGTCTATATTTGTTTATCTGAGTATCCAGTTTGAAGATAGCAATATGTAATACAATTGTTAATTTCCTATCACCTGTCTGAAATTCTGTATTGCTTGTATTGTTTTTGTGTTATTTTCAAAATGTGTTTTTGTTAATATGTTTTTGTTCTCTTATCTTTAAAATAAAAACACTTAAAAACATTTTAAGTAGCATGTCTAATGTTATTGAGTAAATGGCAGAGGCCGACTTTGAGTCCAGGCTTTCTGATGACAATTTTGCTCTTTCACTATTTTAACACAAGTGATTTATGACATGTGCTTGTGGGGCACCAAATGTTTCAAGTCAAAAGAATGAAAAGGAGACTGGTGCATTCATCAAGACTGGTTTTATAGAATTTCTAAAATTTTATTTTTAAATTTTAATAAATAGCAATAAACTATTGGTCATTAGCAGAATGCTTGTATTATGGAATTAGAGATTTATCTGAAAAAATGTAAAGCGTATGACATTCCACAAAATCTTTTTCATAAAGAAAAAAGATCTGTTCTTTCACTGAGCCATTGCCATGGTTACCTACAACCCATGACTCTCTGCTGAAATGTGACTTCTTTCTTCCCACCGTTCACTTCCATGTGATGCGCCTTTCACCTGATGAATGAATTCCCTAGCCACTGTCACTCATGTCTGTCAGCCAGGAAACATTTTTTTCTCTTCATTTTGATTACCATGACAGGCTTCCCTGATACGCCTTTACTTTCTCTTTTTAGCTACCTTTTCTACCGGTTGCATAACATGAGATCTAGTTATATTAAGCACTCTAATTATTTTTTACATAGATATTATTAAACAAGCCCCTGCCTCCAAAAATAATGGTATTTTCTAATTAATGTCAAGCATGCTTTCACTTTAAAAGCTTCTGACATTATAAAAATTATTAAACAGTTGGACCAAAAAGACATGAATCATGAATATAAGCTTTCTAAGAAAATGAACATGAATCACTTAACTTTTTAAAGTACTACTTCATTTTATAGAAGTCTTGCCAGGTAAATATTGTCAGTCTCATTTAAACAGCACTCAGGTGTGTGTGATCCTTATTGCGCCCTCTGTAAATGCATGTATACGTGTACATTCAAACAGCTGATCAGAAGGAGCTACGTAGAATTTCTTATCCCAGACTTTGAATAGAGGTTATTTATTGACATTGTTGTATTTTTGTCATTAAGCTTCCAGCGTTTTAAAGTATGATATAAGATCCTAAGAGCCATCCATGCAGACTTTAATTTTTTAATCTATATTAGCATTGGAGCAAAAGTTTCTCTGATTTTGTCCATTTCAAATGCATTAATGGAGCCTAATCTATGTATATATCATTGTCCTGAACTCTATGTTTACAAAATATTTACAAATGGTCTCTGCCTTAGGGGTTCTGACAGTCTGCTGGAGACCAGACTTGAAAATCATTACATGTACTAAAGAGTTTCAGATAGTCTCATATAAATCTTTACAAAGCCTAGTAGAGGCATAAGGAGATGAGAATTGTGAGTGATGGAGGTGGGTCTTTAAAAGCCTCATAGAATATTTTCATTGTAACATAAATGCATATTTGTTCTCATGTAGTATAGGACACATGAACTTTAAGGGAGTTAAACTAGATACATGTCAAATTATACACCCATAAATTAGTAATTTAATTCTTTCTGAGCCCAAGCAACACAACTTGATTGATGTAAACAGTGAAAGTCAGAACCACCTGGTTTTCATCCTCAGCTATATGACCTTGGAAAAATCATCTTACTGTTTTAGCCTTTCTGTCTTTTTTAAAAAAATAAAATGTAGGCACTACAATCACCAAAGGTTCTTAGTTCAAAGTTAATGATATCGAATCTTTGAGAGCTCCTTTTATGAGTTATGTGAATAGACAGTGAAAAGCACCCAAAAATGGAGGCTTTGTATCTAAGGGGTCGTCAGCCTGGCTGATTGGGAAGGTATTAATGAGCTAACTTAGCCAAGAAACAGTTTGATCTCATCTCACACAAAATGGTCTAATTCTTAATTTGAACATTCAATTTAGGCAAAAGCTTTCAAATTAATGGCCTGTTTACTACAGAAACTGTGTTTTCATAAAGTGGAAGTAAAAAGACACCTAAATAATTTCCATATTAATTACATCAGGGATACTCAGTGCTGGCTCCATATTAGGATTACATGATGAGGTTTTACAGACACAGACGCCCACACTTCATAGCAGATTGCCAGAAGTTGGATTTGTGAAGTGCATGCAATTACTTTTTAGCAATTTTATTTTGCAATTTTTTAGTAATAACTTTTTAGTAATTATATTTTGTAAGCTTCCAGATTTTGGTACTGAGAGTAACTGAAAAAAATCATTATGAACAACCAATTTTAATTTTGGAAGCACTCTAACCGGAGCAGTGAATAAATGGAAACACCCAGCATGAGTTGTTTTATTGTTGTATCTGCCGCTGATTATTCCTTGACACCAAGCATATCAGGTAGATAGCAAATGTTCCTTGATGTAGCATTTTTAACTTAAACTTGTTATTTGTTGTTTTTTTCTCCAAAGTACTTCTTCCATCTTGTTCCCTTACTTTATCTATAAAAGCTATCCTTACACAGCAATTTAATCACAGAACAAAGTTGGAGTTAGTACTGTAACAATTTCAGTGTAGTGCTCACCCACTGGACCCAATAAGTTTTCTTTAGAAAATAGTAAATTGATTGTGATCAAGAAGAGGAAAAAATGGAAAAAAACAGCTCAAAAATAAATATATGATTAGGAAAGAACCCAAATGTAGTATCCTCTGGTAATATGCACCTCATGTCATAAAATATCAGTTCCTTACCTCCTACTCAGCTTGGGTGTGTACATGATGTTTTATTTGTTTTGTATAATTTAGGTAATCCTTCAGTTTTTTGAGGTCAAGTGGTGCTACACAGATAAAGAAAGCGTTGTAGCTGACAGAAAATCCCACTTCAAACTTGATAGTATTTTAAGCAGTGACAGAAGATGTAAGAATGATGAAATTTTTGCCCTCATAGATTCAGGTAGAAAGTCTGAAGGTTTATTGGAATGGCTTTTTCAAGCACATTTTATAATCTTTCCTGTAAAATATCTTCATTACTCTTGCTAAGTAGCTGACACTGATCACACTAGAAATTAGTGGCCAATTTTCAATTACCCATAGCCTTTATTATGAAAATGTGAGAGTATGAGAGGTGATATTTCAAAACTGCAAAGTGTGAGGCCAGTGTAACCACGATTATTCACAATTTTCTCATATATTGGATGTAATTTCATAAAGTATTGTAGGTTAGAAATGCTGAATTCCAAAATTTCAGAAGATAGGCAAACAATATTTCTTCTACTTGTATTGATTTTAAGTGAAAAATAATAAAACATGTATTTCTTTGGTTAATTTTTGCATCTAATCCAGAATGAAAAAATAGAAATAGGTGTTTTCTGTTCATGTATTAATTCTTTAAAGTAGGTGTAATTATTATGTACTGCAAAAATGTACTAGTAACATTTAAAATGAGAAAAATAAAAATAAGAGAAATAGAGATTTAGTCTGAAAATAGCAGTTCTTTTTATTGTATTCAAACTTTGCAAATATATAAGGGAAAAACTCATTTCATCACCCTAATAAAAAGAATCGAAGAAGAGTCAGTTCTTTTGGGTCAAGACATCATGGTAATCATACACTTGAAAATGATAGAATGGTCATACCGGCAGAGTGTGACAAATATTGTCTTGCTGTTTATCATTTGTGTGACTATAAAACAAACTACTTCATATCATTATATATTTGAAATGGAGACAGGTTGATATTAAATTAGTGATTAATGAACTGACAAAAACACAAATTCTTGTCATCAGCTTTAATATACAGATTTATAATTCTTAATGAATATTAGCTGTTTGCATTATTTATAATTTGAGCTTCAGAATCCTTATAAATTTTTTAAAAATGCAAATTTTCATAAAGTTTCCTTACCATAATAATTACTACAGATATTTGGTAAATTACACTTTCCCAGTAAAGTTCCATAAAGATTCTAATCATTAGATTTGGGACAAGGATTTTTATTTTTAATTTTTGCATCCTATGAATTTTATTGTGGATAATAACTTTATTATTCAGAAATATTGCCTAGATAATTTATTTACCTATCTAAATAGACATTCATTGATTCATTCGCAAATACTTTCTGAACAATTGCCTTATGTCAGATCCCATCCTAGGTGTTGGAAATACAAAGGTGAATTAAGTACTTTGCTTTTTGGAGCTTAGAAATTTAGTAGAAGAGGTGAATGTTGGGCCAGTAATCCCACAGTTATCTACTTAATTGTAACTATGAGGTATTCTGTGAAGGATACCTATAAGGTGCATTAGGGGCTCTCAACAGGAAAATTTTCTTCAAGGGGTAGAGGGATGTCAGGGGAATTTTATGAAAACCTGCCTGAAGCAGTTCCTGTCTCCTCTTACCCTCTGCATCCAGCATACCTTACCTGCCAAGAGGAGAAGAACGATGCTGGGCTGAGCAGGTTAGGGCTTGTAGGGTGCCGACCTCCCATGTACTCGTCTGTGCAAATGTCACAGCTTTCCGCATCTCGCCAGTCCCAGTATGGAATAGTGAAGTTCTCATCCCCTGTAAGCTCCCGGATATCTTCTTCCCACAGAAGCAAGAAAAGTCTATGCCAAGGCAGGAAACCTGGTGCTTCATGGGCAAAATCAATGTCTCTCCATATTTCAGACCCCCCAAGCAGTGTGTCTCTTGACACATAGTAATGCATCCAGACAAAGAGGTCATAAACGTTAACATCGTTAAACATGGGGGTTGATCCGTTCTTCATTTGGCCATACGTGCCTGTCGGGATGACATAGTCTGCACTGATGGTATGCTTTGCTAAAGTGAGGTAGGCGAGGAACTTGTCCTTCTCTGGGACACTCAAATCGAAGATGTTTCTTCTCACCAAGACTCTTTTCTGTGTGCAGTTTGGTCCCCAGTATCCAAACTTGCAACGTCCACAGCTGAATCCCATGAAGTTGCCAGAGCACTGGCAGGTTCTGTTATAAAAGACGGAGGGCCAGGATTCCCTGTCGTCCACCCCTGTGAAAGGGAATTGTGGCCCAAATGGTGCACTGGACAGAAGGATGTCCTGACAGGAACCTCTGCCTGAAAGCTGGCCGCAGGGACTCCCATCCCCCTTCCACGGCGGGCAGCATTCCTTCTCTATCAGGTTCCGAAGAGACGTGCAAGCTCGGGGGAAATGGCCGGCGGAGGTCTGGAAACTGCACAGGAGAAAGAACAAAACAGCCAGGATCATTTTTCCTCTAGTGCTTCCACGCTCTGCTTGAGCTGGTTAATTGGTGTCGCTCACTTCTTTCTCCAGCAACCCCTATAGTGACTATCACATGTCTTGGCTAAGACCTATGCAACACCACTCCCACCCCGAACATCAGATATTCTGTCTTTGTCCTAAGCTCTCATCTTGTGGGAAGCACATGACTGCCTTCTTTGGCATTGGCCTGCATCCCACATTGGGGCTGGCCCGTGCTAAAGTGATAAACACTATGCAACATTAAAAGTTCAATTCTTATAGTTACTGCAATGCTAATGTTTAATAGTAACAATGCTTGATCTAAGCAGATTCAGTCATTAATTATGAAATTAATATAGATTTAAATTTGGAAATTAAGACGGGTCACTTTGGTAGCTTGGTGGTCTGCTTTATTGTGGAAATTTATCCATTGAAAGTTTCAGAAAGACTTGTCTTTCTCTTTCTCTCTCCTCTCTCATTTTCTGTTTCTCTCCCCCACACTGCAGTTACATTGTTCCACCCAGAAATATTGGAACCATGAATTTATCCGATATTTTTACAGTGTTATTCTTGCAAAGAAATTCTAAACATAGGGCTTGAGCAAATAAAGAGTAAACATTTCTTTTGATGACCTTCCTTTTACTGGGAGTTATTTCTCTATATAAAGAGAGCTAAAAAAAATTCCAATACATGGCCAAAAAAAGCTATTCATGTTTCTTTTAAATTAAATAATATAAATGAACATCACACTTTTAAAGGAAAGAATATTTTTGTGAACTGAGGCTACTGGGAAAGATTGCATAGTTGTAGTCACCAGCAAGTGGCTGTCCTTAAGGGAGCACCCCTCAGGAGCAGCCTCAAGGGGTAGGTTTAAGTTGGAATGAGAATAACGGAGACAATCCTTCAGGCAGGGAAACTGTAGGGATGGGTGCTGCATTTCACCTGCTGAGCTGGGTAATTAGATTAGATAGTTGGATAATTAGACTAGATAGTTCCAATATTATGGGCAATTAAAACTGAGACCAATCCATAGAGAAATTTGAAGCCTTACTAGGTGTCTTGAGATGAGGGGAATCTTTTTGTGACCCAAAGAGTGATAAAGTGAGAGAAGTCAAAGCCTCTGACGTTTCCTTCCTTATCCTGCTCCACACATGAAACTATGTGGCCCTCTCATTTAAAGAACAAATGAAAGAAAATAAAAATTTGAGGAAGATATCGATTTTTCACCCCTGAGCGGAGGATTCTAAGGAAAGCCGTGACGTTCTTGGTGATGCTGGAATGTCAGCCGCTCGGTTTCCTCTCTTCTGGCCAGACTTTTCTCATTATAGAAAAACGCGGAGCTCCTCCACTGGACTCTCCTGAGACTCCGGGCAGCCTTGGCCGCTGGGTACAGCAGTGTGCGGGTGCAGAGGAAAGAAGAGAAGTTTCCATGGAAATGCTGCCTCTGGCAGGGACCAGGAAGTTGTCACATGACCTTCTCCAGGAGGCTTACCCCTTTATTCCTCTGCTTCTTTCAGAGCCAAAAGGAGAGATTAAGAGAGGGTTTCTTGTCCCTGGGGAGCCTTGCTTCTGCATTACTTGTAACCGCATGTGGCTTTTTGTAATTCTTTTCCATCTAGTTGCAGACAGAATCCAACTTCTCATGCTTAGTTTAATTAAGGATTTTGCCTTTCGCTTGCCCCCGTCAGCCTTCCCAGTGAAACAGCTTATAAAGTCTCCATCATGACTACTCGGGAAATTTGTCTTGTCTCTCAAGTCTGTTTTCATAATCTTCAAAGCCTGGTGAAAGGAATGACTAAAATGTGCTTTGCCCTCTTCACAGAGTTTGATTTCCTTAAATTGACAGTTCTCTATTTCTCCTCAGTCTGGGCCAAAAATCTGTTCTGACTACATGTGTACCATCTTATCGCCAGTACTGCTTCCCAAGATAGGTTAGACTGCTTTCTCCTGCACTCTACGTGTGTATTCTTTAGGTATTTTCTGCTTAGAGGATTTGAAAGTGTCTTATTTTTCCCTAGGCCATCACTGTATAATGTAGCATGGAGCTGATGCTATATTCGATTAATTATGAGTAAAAACTCAGTACATACCCTGCAGATATTTACTTAGCATCAACTATCAAGCATATGCTGAGAGATGGGTGCTATGGTAAACACAGGTTGAAGTTTTTGAATTGGTCTTACTTTTTTCTCTTTGCTGAGAGAAAACACCTGATGCCCAAAATTAAAGGAAGGAAAAGCTTATTTAGATCACAGTTTGTGGAGGTATCAGTTCATAATCAGCTGACTCGAAAGCAGAGTGGTGTGGCAGGGAGGCAACTGTTCATGGTGGTGGAAGACAACAAAAGCAACAAGAGCAAAAGATGGGAGAGAGGAAGCTTCTTTTCCTCAGGCTACCTGTCCTAGGGCGGGTATAGCACTCACGCTGTCTCTGTCGTCTCCTCTTGCACAGGATGAGGATGTTTACAAGGTGAGGACCCTGGCCCCCTGCTGAGTCACTTAGTTAAACTTCTAAACTTCTCAAATTGACACAATGAATCAACCATTAAAATATCCTGGAGTGTAAACAGAATGTAAACAATACAGAATTAAAATTACAGAATTAATATTTCAATTTTAGTAATTTGTTGAGAAGTGGTAGTTCAACAATGTATAATTGTGGCTTATGGCTATGTATTGCTTGTTCTAAGAAACCAGAGGATTGTATTGTCAGATTTTCCCATTTTTTGTTCTTAATATCAGTGATTTAAAGTGATGTCAGACTATCTTATGATATACTTATCTAAGAAGGTTTGATATGGTTTTATTATTTACTAATACAATTCTGTATATCTTATTTTATTAAAAATTGCAAGAATAAACATAGTTGCATATATATCACTGTGGTATGATGTTTTTAGTTCTTCTGGAAAAACACCCAAAAGGGAAAGACCTGGGTTTAATGGGACCTCTAATCTTAGTTTACTGAGGAATCTCCAGACTGATCTTCACAGGGGTTTCACCAGTCTACACTCCCACCAACAGTGGAGAAGCGTTCCTGTTTCACCACAGCCTCTCCAGCATTTGTTATTGGTTGCTTTCTTAATGCTAGCCATTCTTCTAGGGTGAGATGGAATCTCTGTGTTGTTTTAATTTTCATTTCTCAAATGACTAATGATGTTGAACATTTTTTCATGTATTTATTTGCTATTAGTATTTCTTCATCTGAGAAATGTGTATTTATCTCAGATGCCCATTTTGGTGTTGGGTCTTTGAGCCTCGTGGGGCTGACTTTTAAAAAAATTCCTTATATGTTCTAAATAGAAGTTCTTTGTCTGAGGGACAGTTGGCTAAAATATTTTCCCAATTTGTGGATTTTCTTTTTACTCTGCTGGTGATTTCTTTATATATGCAAAAACTTTTCAGTAAGATGAGATGTCAGTTGTTGATTCTTTGAAGTATGTCTCTATTACTTCATTGAAAGGAACAGTTAATGTTTAATTGTTTGATCAATCTTACATACCTATATTTGTTTATCTGAGTAACCAATCTGAACATATTAATATGTAATACAACAATCACTGTTAATTTCCTATTACCTCATCTGAAATTCTGTATTACTTGTATTGTTTATGTGTTATTTTGAAATGTGTGTGTTTGTTAATGTTTTTGTCCTTTTATCTTTAAAATAAAAAATAAAAATTGCAAGAATAATGCTTTTTAATTGTAGAATTCTACTTTATTTATTAACTATGAGTCATTTGTAAACAGTTTTTCTCATCAACTGCTTAGTTACTCTAAAGTATATTTTGCATTGGCTATGATACATATGCCAGTGGTTATTATGGTTTCACATGTGTATGTATGCATGTGTGTGTGCAAATCTGAATGGAATATATAACATCATGAACCTTCTATTGCTGCCATTTAGATTCATCCACTTTTTAAATAAATATTAAGAATCTAAAATTCCTAAGATCTTATGATAGGTACCTGAGAGGTACAAATTATCAACTCTAATTTTGATGTTCTTAAGTCACCATTTCTGAATTTGCATTTAAGGCTTGACAGTTACTAGATTTTATGCTTCATGGGAAGAAAATTATATAGACTAGGAAGACTATACATTTAGAATACTTTTCAATAATTTCATTTGTCACAACTTTAGTGTACTCAGCCCTACTACATAGAGTTTTTGGATTTTAAATATGATCAATGCTAAGCATAGAATATATGGCCTGACCCATACTAGTGTACTCAGTATGTATTTACTGTCTTTACTAAACACCTCAAATGGGCTACTAGTGGAACTGATCCATATTGCTGCTTTGAGGCACTTTTTAGTGTAATAGCTAGATGATAACTATATTAGACATAATTAGAAATCATGTAACCTGTCTCCTACTTCTCTACTGAATATCCTCATTTGCGATTTTCCTCCAGTGAAATTCTTCTCCCTTAAATTACTGAATTTCTACAATGACATGGAGCTATCAGGCTTCCTTAGGTTTCAGAGATTAGCCATACCCTCTCCCTTAGGAAGAATGCTTCTCTTCCTATTCACTGCCATAATTTCCCTTCACACTGTGATATTCACAGTGTCAAACTTGAAGGAAATTTTTTGCTGAGCTGCAGGTCTCCTTTGCAGAGCTTTCTTATATTCTCTCATTGTATCCTTAGTTCACCTTTGTCATTAAGCTCACAGCAAAGTTTGGTAACACTCTAAAGGTATGTTGTATGGTTCTAGATCATGAATGCCTTAAACACACCACACACACACACACACACACACACACACACACACACATATTTCACACTTAGTTCCTAAAATAATGTTTAGCACTTTAAGTATACTTTCATTAGATAAAGAATAGAACACAGAGCACAATCTATTCTGTTTTCCTCATATCATGGAACAGATTTTGAACTTCTAAGATATTTTAAGCATACAAAATATAAACAATAACAATAACACCTATATTTCTACCACACTTATTTAACAAATCTTAACATTTTAGAGCAACAGAT